AGGCTCTGTATCTATTGATAAGAGCATCTATGTCAAAATCATTTTTTTAGATGTTTTAAGAAAAGGATTTTATACTTAGAATCTTTTTATGAAAAACAGACCAGAGAGGCTCTGGTTGTCTTACACGTTGAACCAGAAGCTGTGACAATCCTACTTTTTGGGATTTCAGGTCAGTACCTTAATTCAGGACCTTTATTGAAAACTAAGTCTTTCTAGGATTTAGCCCCGATGATCTGAGATCATCTTGGTTATCTCCCAAGATTAGTTGTTAGATCATGTTTCAGCAGGTAGCTAACCAAGTTGGTTTATGCAATGCCAAATAGTCTTGAAATGTTTCGCATAAAATAAGGACGATATTTAAATTCCAAAGTTCCAATTTCTTTTATATATAGTTGCCAATTAATTTAAAGAGTGGTGTCTTCTTTAAAATCTTTTGTCCATTTATTTCGTTTAGGTAATTTAGTGGGGTTTTATTATTTAGAAAAATAAAAACATTTTGGGCTTAGGCCTTTAGAGGCCAGCTCATTCCTTCTCAAGAAGCCCCCATATAAATACCCCTCCCCTTTTGAAAATTCTTCATTCTCCAAAACTTCAGCTATTCCGTTTTTCTCTCTCTCTCTCTCTAACTCCATCACCTTCCAAGCGGTTCTAATCTCCTTGCAAAACTCAAGGACTCTTGTTGTTCGTGAGACTTGTTCGTGTCATTCTGTCAAGAAAAGGTATGTTTTAAAGTTGTCTTATTTTCTTTTAGATGTCTGAAAGTCTTTATCCTTCTCTCTACTTGATTCTTTAAGTAAAATTTTGGGATTTGAAGAGGAGAGATTATTCATCCAAGACCTGCATGTGTCTTCGTTGGGATAATAATCTATGACCCATGTTCTTTAATCTCTAAGAAAGAAGGAGAGAATCCTTGCATTTGAAAGTCCGATCATAATCTCGGATGATAGAATCTTGCATGCATCTTTAAATCAGTTTTCTCAATCTTGTAAACTCGCTGGAATTGGAATTTTATTTGTTTTATTTTTCTGGAATTTCTTTGAAGATGATGTTTTGTGTTAGAGTTTTGATTCTCGAAAATGTTGAGCTTGAGACCCCTCCCCATCATTGCTACCATTCTTGGGCATGCAACCGGTTTTGGGAGGCGTGCGACTCAAGGATGTAGAATTTTGAAAAGAGTGTTAAACTCACTCAAAATCTCTTGATTTTGAGATTTGGCGGCTATCATCATTATTTTGGGATGACATTTAATGATGTCATTATTAGGATTTTGGAAGGTTCCTTTTTATTTGATAATAAAATATCGGCCTTATTTTATGAAAACGCTTGATGGCTTTGCATTGGGAACAACTTTGTTCTACCTTAGGCAAGAAACCGTTGAGTAATGTAGCGCTGGTTGGTCTATCAGGAAGTTCGAGCAAGTTTAGGAAGCCTCTAAAGGAAGCATTCAGATATTCGTCAAACTTGTGAGTTCTCACGGCCCCACTTTTACTGCTTTATATATATTTTATGGGGAAAAGCATAAGATTGAGCAAACTTTGCATGTTTATGTTATATGAAATTTTGGGACTAAGGAATGGCTTAGTCAAGCTCTGTTGAAACCT